AAAAGCCTTTCAAAGTTAAGAATACACTTACTTTTGCCAGGTGCCAGTGGCTCACGCCTGTAATCTAGCTCAGGAGGCTGAGATCTGATGATCACAGTTCAAAGCCAGCCCTGGTAGGACTATCCATGAAACTCTTATCTCCAATTAACCACCAGAACACTGCAAGTGGTGCTATGGCTCAAGGTAGAGTGCTAGCCTTGAGCTGAAATGCTGAGGGACAGTGCCCAGGCCCAGAATTGAAGCCCCATGACAGACAAAAAAAAAAAAGACTACACTTACACACTTACTTTGCAACCTAGCGACATAAGCAGAACCTGACAACCCACCTTTCACCCTCCCAAAAGGAAACTGTATACACCTTTGTACAATTAATAAACGCTGGGTGGGGGAAAGAGAATCATAGGCTAAAATGGAGGGTAGGCACAGTGGGGAAAGGGTAGATATGATCAAAGAATTTTTGTATGCGTGCATGATAATATAACAATGAAAACTGTGGGACATCTCTTAAGAAGTGGATAGAGATGATAAGGGAGAGTGGCGAGGGATGAGTTTGACCAGGACATATTATATGTGTGTGGAAATGTCACAATGAACACCCCAGTACAACAACAAAGGCTAATAAAAAATATTTTTAAAAGAAAGAAACCCAGGTGCTGGTGGCTCATGCCTGTAATCCTAGCTACTCAGGAAGCTGACATGTGAGGATCACAGTTCAAAGCCAGCCACAGCAGGAAATCCATAAGACTCTTATCACCAATAAACCACCAGAAAACCACAAGTGGCGCTGTGGTTCAAGTGGTAGAGTGCTAGCCTTGAGCTGAAGAGCTGAGGGACAGCACCCAGGCCGAGAGTTCAAGCCCCATGACTGACAAAAAAAAAAGAAGAAAGAAAAATAACAGGGCTGGGAAGGTGGCTCAGTGGTAGAGTGTTTGCCTTGCTATGCATGAGGCCCTGGGTTCGATTCCTCAGCACCACATAAGCAAAAAGAAAAAAAGCCAAAAGTGGCGCTGTGGCTCAAGTGGTAGAGCACTAGACTTGAGCTGAAGAGCTGAGGGACAGCGCCCAGGCCCAGAGTTCAGGTCCCACGACTGGACCCAAAAAGAAAAAAAAATAACAAAAAAAAAAAGCCTAAAATTAAATAGAAATGTTTAGGAAAATTAAAACATTGTAAGTTAGAAAAGAAATTCAAACAAAGGCTGGATATACAGCTCAGTGGTGAACATAAGCATGAATGAGGCCCCAGGCTCAATTTCAAAAAAGGAAAATCAAAACCAAAACTAAAACATGTAAGAACTGTGAAAAGGTAGCTTAAAACTACCTTTCTTACATTTTTTTTTCTTACAAGTTATTCTTTATTTGTTGGCTATTTGAGGGAAGGGGGGTTACTAGGATTTGAACTTGCTGGACAGGCATTTCACCACTTGAAATCTCCAGCCCTTTTTTCTTGAGCATTTTTCAGATAGGACCTCATGTTTTTTCCCAGGACTAGCCCTGAGAGTGATCTTTCTTTAGGCCTCCATGTGGTTGGAGACACAGATAGGTACCACCAAACTGACTATGACTCATTGAGAATTTTTGCATTAGCTGGGCTTGAACAGTATCTCTCCAATCTCTAGCTCTCAAATAGCTGAGATTTCAGGCATTTATTACACCACCTGGCCCTCCTTATAAATTTTCTGTGTAAATTTTCCGTATAAATTTTCTCCCACTGAGGTACATCCCCAGTTTGGGCAGTTTATACTTGAAATCATTTTATTTATTTATTTAGTCAGTTGTGGGGCTTGAACTGAGGGCCTGGGCACTGTCCCTGACTTCTTTGTGCTCAAGGCTAGCACTCTATCACTTGAGCCACAGTGCCACTTCTAAGTTTTGCATGGCTAATTGGAGATAAGATTCTCATGGGGACTTTTCTACCCAGGCTGGCTTCAAACTGCTTCACACAGATCTCAGCCTCCTGAGTAGCTAGGATTACAGGTGTAAGCCATAGGCACCTGGCTTGAAACTTTTTATATCTCACTAGAAGTTCTACATACTTCTATATCATTCTCATAGCTAAAATTTAAAAACTATTCATAATTGTTCATTGCCAGAATTGTATGAATTATCAAGACGATCAAGATAATGATGCTTTGATATGTTGCTGCCCCCAAGTGGTTTAACTATGCAAGGTTGATGAGATTGCACAAGATAGTGAAACCTGTAATCCTAGCTACTTGAGAGGTGGTCATGGGGAGGGACTGTGGTTTGAGGTCTCTCAGACAAAACAGAAGTTCTTAGGACTTGATCTTAAACAATGGCTGGGCATGGTGTGGCATGTCTGCCGTACTTCCCAGTGAAGTGGAGAACCAAAAGTATGAGGATTGTAGCTCAGGACAGCCAGACATAGTGAGACCCCACCTTGAAAATAACACATGTAAAAATGGCCAGGCAATGCAGTTCAAGGGACAGATTGCCCACTAAGCAAGAGTAAAACCAGGAATTAAATCCCAAAACATTAATGTTTAAAAATAATTAAAATTTAATTTTACAAGTACAATAGAAAGTGATACTAATCTTTTCTTTTTTAAAGCCCTTTTCAAAACAAACTCTACATATGTAGCCCAGGATAGCATTAAATTTGCAATCCTCCTCCCTCTGTCTTTTGAGTACTGGTATTACAGGTATGTGTCACCACCTGTGCTTCTAATCTAGTTCCTTCCCACTCCTTCCCTGTCCTCCTTTTCTTTTCTTTCCTTTCCCTTTCTCTTCTTTTCTTTTTTTGAGCCAATACCATGGCTGAAACTCAGGGCCTTGAGCTCTTGCTCAGTTTTTCTTGCTCAGGCTGGGTCTATACCACTTGAACCATATACTCCAGCCTAGCATTTGTTGGTTATTTTAGAGAATGAATCTTATGGACATTTCTGAATCTCCATCCTTTACATTTTAGACTGGAGTACCTAGGATTACAGGCATGTGTCACCAGTGACTAGCTTTTAGTCTACTTCTTGAACTAACTTAATTCAAAATCAGAATGTAGATAGTAAATAAGCTGAAGATGATGAGCCAGGAGGACGGTGAACTGCAGGACAGGATTGCTCAGGTATCAAAAAGAAATTATACAGTGAATTTTAAGGCAGTATAAGTATAAAAAAATTTAAGTTACGTTCCCCCCCCCGCCCCCCGAAAAAAAAATCAGAAAGTAGGGAAGTCAATTAAGGCAAAGAATGTCCAGTAGAAATTGAGTTCTTTACAAACTAGAACCACAGTGTGAACACTAGATCTAGTCAGTTCAAAGAATAATTTAGGAGCCTCCTTCCCCAATAAATTCTGAATCAGTCAAGTAAGATCTGAGCAAACAAGCAGTCCTCTTAGGAAGCACAACATTGAAGACTGGAAGACAGCCTGGAAGGCAGAGGACAGTAGAAAAGCCATTTCCACTTGGCCACGCCTTGCAGTTTCTCACCAGGAGTCACCAGTGCCAGCTCCACTGTTACCACTAAAACAGGAACTGCATGAACCACAAAGGAGAGGTGACTCCTCAGTCAGCAGAGTCATCAGCTTTCCACAGGACTGCCTAAATCACTTGGAGCCTTTGCTGCCACCTCGTGGGCAAACAGAACATACTTCTTTCTGCCAGGGCCACAACCCTCCTCCCAGGTATTTTCTCTGCACCCCCTCTGCTTATTTACAGCTGACAATGACCATAGACTTTGAAAGGGAACAGATTAAGACCATTGAACAAATAAATAAACAAAATTTAAGGTAACACCCTAAAGGGACTCTTTTTTGTAGGTTTGTGTGTGTGTGTGTGTGTGTGTGTGTGTGTGTGTGTGTGTGTGTGTGAAAGTAAAACTTTGCCCAGAGGGCTGGGAAGGTGGCTCAGTGGTAGAGCACTTGCCTTGAATGCATGAGGCCCTGGGTTCGATCCTCAGCATCACATAAGCAAAAAGAAAAAAGCTGGAAGTGGCGCTGTGGCTCAAGTGGTAGAGCACTAGCCTTGAGCCGAAGAGCTGAGGGCCAGTGCCCAGGCCCGGAGTTCAGGCCCACGACTGGACCCCCAAAAAAACAACAAACAAACAAAAAACAGAAAGTGATTGGAAAGTTTCTTTGCAAAGCAGTACATTTCCAATAGACTGAAAGAAAGTCATTTTTAGAGTGTAAATGATACCCTAAAGAGTGCCTATAGGACACTTTTTAAGGAACATAAGTCTGTAAAATGAGAACTGACCAGGACATACTAGATCCTAGGAACAGAAGTTTGAGGCCACAGCTTCATGGGGGGAGTTGCAGGGTCTGCCTGTCTCCTACTGTAAAGAATGGATTCGAGCCTCTATTTCTTAACTTGAAAAAGACTCGTAGGGTGAAAATCCCAAAGGCATAGGAAGACAAAGGCATAGGAAAACACCTCCTTTCAAACACTTCAGCTAGATGACCAGCACCATACCCTGAGAGCCATTTCACTTTCTATGAATCCTTTATGGAAACATTTTAAGCATAGACTTGCACATTTATGCAATCTCCACATTTATAAAATTTGATTGCATACCTGGGCACTGGTGGCTCACGCCTGTAAGCCTAGCTATTCAGAAGACTGAGATCTGGGGATCGCGGTTCAAAGCCAGCCCAGGCAGGAAAGTCCATGAGACCCTTATCTCCAATAAAACCACTAGAAAGCCAGAAGTGGCGCTGTGGCTCAAGCGGTAGAGTGCTAGCCTTGAGCTGAAGAGCTGAGGGACAGCGCCCAGACCCAGAGTTCAAGCCCCATGACCGACCAAAAGAAAATTTTTTTTTTATTGCATTGACACTTGTTACACCATTGGTAACCCCAAGATATGCAGTGATGCTTTCTTCACTAAATTATACAATATATAATAGAGTTCATATCATGACAGTACATTCCTCTTTACCATCCGTCACGTTCTATCACGTGGACAATGCAGAAGATACTTAAGGAGCACCACATTCAAATGCAACCTGAGCTTGTTTCCAATACCATGATCCATCTATTATTGGCTTCTTACCAACAATTTGCTGGGCAAATTGGATTGCTTCTTCAAGCACATCTGAGTTCACCACTTTATCCACAATGCCCATCTTGAGTGCTTCACCTGCCAAAATACGCCTTCCTAAAACAAAAGCAAAGAACACAAAGAACAATGTGAGATGGAAGCAGAGCACTGCTTTCTCTTGGACACTGGAAGGCTATCTCTAAGTACTAACATGAAGAAGACCACTCACACTACTGCAGGAGAAAGGTCACTGCAGACATGGGCAGAAAACTTGGATTCCAGTGACAGTTCAATTTCATGGTCACAGTGACTGTGGGGCCTGGCGCCAGAACCACAATTTCCTCACTGATAAATGGGAGGAATTGTGCCTGCCTCTGTAATTCTGAGCATGAGGTGAAAGTAATAAATTCTCCTTCTAGTCTGTAAATCTCTAAAGAAGCACTTTATATAGAATGAATCTCTTCAAGAATCAGATAATAAAAGTAGTACTAATACTGTACACCATGGACTGTAGCTGATTTTTTTTTAAGTCCCCAAACAAAAACAGAGCTGGTAAAGTATCAGTTAAGATGACATTATATATAAAATATAATAAAAAATTATGTAGAAGAGGTGGGGCAAACTTTTGCCATATTCTACTACCTCGTACTTTGACCCTGTTTGTCAGGTTTCTATCTATGAAAGCAGAGATGATTAGAAAATTGTTCCTTCAGACCCTGGGCCTGTGACCTCAAGCTAGTTGAACTATGCTGAGGGTTCTTGGGCTGTGGTCAGTGACACTGAGCAGCAATAATGCTCTACTTTCTAAGTAACAACACTTAGAGTCTGGTGGTGGTGTTGCTGATAGGCTCTCATGCTTAGCAGTAAACTAGTAGTAGCTTCCTGTAGACAATGCCACCTCTAAAGTGTGACAGAAGTTTGATGTTTGATGAGGGCTTACAAATGACTTTTTTTTTTCTTTTTCTGGTTTGAATTCAGTGCCTCTGTCTCTCACACAGCTGTCTTGCTCAGGGCTGCTGCTCCACTACTTGAGCCCTGATTCCAGCCCTTGATGATGGTTTCTATCTCTCTGAAGTATCATGTCTTGGCAGTTCTTTACTAGTGGCTAAGATATAATTTACTGTGTGTCGATATCGTTGAAAGCACGAATCTTAAGTATTCCTTGCCAAAGGGTAAAGAAGAAAGGACATGATGTCATTGCTTGCTTTCTTGACAGCACCATTCTGCCTTCTGAAAAGTGGTATTGAATAACCTTTGACGGGTGTAAGTTCCAGTGCTTGTCTTGCACTTAAGGTGTTGGTGGATGCCATATTTAGAACAACACCTCCTTCCCCTCCCCGCCCCCCAGTCCTGCTTCTGAACAGTATTTCAGAGAACAAAAGGGTTTCCCTGACCATTCATTTGGTGATGTCCCTTGGCTCCCTTTGCTAAAACAGTACTTTTGGGGATGGGTATTTGAAAACAGATTTCCAGGTTTCAGCCTGGAAGAGGCAGGGAGTAGGCGATGGTATTAGGGATTGAGTTTCCCATAGAAAGTCACTTGTATGATGGGTGAGTAAGTCAGCCTAGCTGATTTAGAGGGCCAAGGAAATACAAAATGGAAGGCAGAAACTTGGGTCACAATAAATCTGTGGGGTAACAATGCAGGGAAGGAAATCTACTACCCAAGGAGGAATTGATCAGTATTTTAGCACTAAGGTATCTACTACCTGGATTTCACAAAAAAAGGAAGAGAACTACTGCTACTCTTTCAGTGTCAACAATATTCCGGTGGTTTTTGTTGTTGTTGTTGGTGGTGGTCATGGGGCTTGAACTTGGGGTCTGCAAAACTGTCCTTTTGCTCAAGGCTAGTACTGTATCACTTTGAGCCACAGTGCCACTTCCTCCAGTATGTTTTTGTTTCAAAGAATTAATGATCTCCAGACATGGCTATGAGCTTCCAATCTGAATCCTCATGCTGTGCTTTAAACTTGTTTTGACTTGGGCTACATTAGTGTGGATGATGACCCTGCTCTAATGGGGTCTATAAGATGCCTGTGTAGATCTGCCACAGAAATCCCAAGGTTTTGGAGCAGAGAGCTCTTTCTCAAGCTACAGGCTGGCACTCTCTCTCCTCTCTCTCTCTCTCTCTCTCTCTCCCCTCCTCCTCCCTCCCTCTCCAATTCTCTTTCTCTTTTTTAACTTTTCCAAAGTTAAAACATGTTTTCTCTTCTTAGAACCCTTTCCAAATGTTATTTTAAACTTCCCAAAATTATACAGTCTCCTCCAAAGATAGGTGTATGATTCTACTGTCAGCATTCTTCACTGTGACCTTTTCTATGCAAATCAGAAGTGCTTCACATCATTACTGTTTTCACCTCTTATGTTTGTCATGCTAAAAATAGGGATATTTCCTGATCCAGTGCTGTGGGAAAAGGCTAACTCAGTTTACTTCATTTCTTATTGTCAAGGAGGTGAGGTTTTATCTTTATTTCCACAAGAACATGGTTGTCTTTCAAAACTAAGAACAGGGCCACAAAATGACTCCATGTTCCCCAAGATACTTCATTTTTTAAGCTGTAGGATTTAGAGACTCATTTCATACTGCTATTGTTTCCTCTTATCATTCTTGCTGTCTCGTGGTCTTTGAATTTCTGTGGTATGTTGGATTGTAAGCATCTCATGAATTCCACGAGATACATCAAATAATTTACATTCTCTAAAATGTACTTACCATATCATGTTCTAAGCCCAGTACATATTAATCTTAGCTAATCATCACCACATCGCCATGAGAGAGCAGGGTATGGCTATTGTCCATGTTTATGGAAATCTAAGCAACAGAAAGGCAAAGCTGTTGACTCAGTAGCACATAATTAAAGACACCTGTCTCAAATAAATAGTTGTGTATGCCTCTATTAATTTTGCCTCAACTAAAATTCAGGCTTTCTCTCCTCTTAGACACCCCTGTTCTGATACAAGGATTTCAACTCAGTGAATCCAAAGTTGGCTTTTTTTCTGTGTATTTTAGAGATAGAGCCTTATGGACTTTTCTCACAGGTTAGATTTGAATCAAGACCCTCCAGATCTCTGAGTAGCTAGGTATAAACCTTTTTATGTTTTATAATTGCATGTAGTTGGTTATTAATCTAGAATTTAGTATATTATCCACATTCTGTCTGTAAGACAAAAGATGTGCATATGTAGCTAATATCTTCTTCTTCTTTTTTTTTTAATGCCTGTCCTAAGGCTTAAACTCAGGGTCTGGGCACTTTCTCTGAGCTTTTTTGTTCAAGGTTAATACTCTACCACTGGAGCCACAGCTTCATTTCAAGTTTTTTGGTGGGTAAGTGGAAATAATAGTCTCAAGGACTTTTTTTCCTGGTGTGGCTTTAACCCTGATCCTCAGATCTCATTCTTCTGAGTAGCTAGGATTACAGACATGAGCCACCAGAACCCGGCTATAGCTAATATTTTAATTCTTGGGAAACAAATACTGTAGTTAGTTGTATTTGTATTACAATTTCCTAACCAGATCAGAACATTTTTCTATATGAACACCAAGGTCCAATAACAGTCACTTACATGGACCTTCCTCACATTGATCTAGACAGGTACCCAAAGTGTATACTGACCTGAGGTTATCAAGTCAAGTCAGCAGGAAGTCCAATAAGTCTGGGGAGAAGCTGAGTTCCTCTTTCAGTAGGAAGGACTCCCAGAATGACTTCTGGAAAACCAATCTCAGTCTATCAGACATTGAAATAGAAAGCCCATTACAATGAGATCACATGTTCAGAGTGAAGACAAGCATCTCCCAGGATCTCCTATACCTCAGAACATGCTTCATTGAACTCAGCCTGACTTCCCACAGGGCACATCAGTGTATGCCCTATTCTTTGATGAACATAATAATCAAGGCTTTGCTCAGTGTTCATGCTCAAACACATCCCCAGCTTCTGGCAACTTGATTCTCTTTAGTCTAACATGACTGTGTCAGACAACAAAATTAGAACTTACAAACAACGTACTTAAGTCCCTGCAGAAGCCAGAAAGCACAAGAAAGTGAAGAAGAAACCCAGAGAATGGGGCAGAATATTGACAGATTATCAGCTTTATATAGGACTTGTACCAGGTGTACATAAAGAACTTTCACAACTCAACAATGAAATGTTAATCATTAAAAATGGGCAAAGGATCTGAATAGACAAGTCTATAAAAATGGGGTATGAATCACCAATGAGCACCTTAAATATCATTAGATAAAAGGAGAATGCAAATTTAAACTACCTGTGATACAATTTCAAATGCACTGTAATAAATATGTATTTTTAAATAGACAATCACAGGTGTTTGAGAGGATATGAAGATAAAATCCTTACACATTGCTGGTGGGAATGCTAAATAATGCAGACAGTTTGGAAAATGATTTGGCAGTCCTTCAAAGGGTAAACACAGAGTGGGATACTCTACCACACACCAAAGCCTGCTCAAATATAAAGCAAGAGCAATGGGAATATAGTCCCAGCGAAACCCCACATACAAGCTTTCAGATGTTCCTGAAAGTCAAAATAGTAGGAAAAAAATCTCAGATGACCTCAACTGATGAAAGGCTAAATGAACCATGCACATCCTTCAAATGAAATATTCAGCCACAGACCAGAACAATGAATTGATCAATGATTTGATATGGATGAACCCAGAAGACCTGTTAAGTGAAAGAAGCAGTCACAGCAGACCACATATGGTAACATCTATTTGAATAAATTACTGGGAACAGGCAGATCTGGTGACAGGAAGAGGTCTCCTGGTAGGCTAGGACGAGGAGAAGAGGATGGAAGGTTACTAGTAAAGGAATAGGTGTGAGAAGAGATGACACTGTTCAAAAAAGAAATGTACTCATTACCTGACTTATGTAATTGTAACCCCTCTGTTGATCACCTTAACAATGAAAATTGAAAATTAAAAAATTAAAGGAGTAGACATTTCTCTGGGGTGATCAGATGTTTAAAATGGACCGTGGACATGTATCTCAGTGAATATAACCACATGCAACGGAATGGGGCCTTGACATAGGTATAGGTTATCACAATAAAGCATGCGGGTGTATGCGCATACCTACATATGAAAAGCTAGGCAGCTACCTGAGTCCAGGTAGGAGGGTGACCTTGAGTCCTTACCACACAGCCTTCCCTGCCCATTGAAAAGTGGATGAGGCTCTGCCCACCATTTACAGTACCCCCCCCAAAAAAAAGAAAGAAAAAGAGGAACAGGAGAAGAAGGGGGCAAAGGAGGAGAAGGATGAGGAGGAAGAAGAAAAAGAAGAAAGAAGAAGGAGGGAGAAAAAGAGGAGGAGGAGGAGGAAAATGAACAGCAACAGCCTAAATGCAGACTTCCAGGTACCTAAACAGTTCTCACATACTTTGTGTATTTGAGTCTTCCTAACAGTAAATCACCTCTGTTCTCCAATGCTTAGCCCCCAAAGGCACACACGTGCTGCTGGTTGTTCAGATCTCCAGACACTCTGTACAAGGTCATAGGGAAAGGGACACAGGAAATGTGAACTTAGGATATGCATGTGTTGATATCAGATTTTACCAAAAAGTAAAATAATATAACACAGTTTAAAGATAATTAATTTATGTTCCATATCGGCTTTATACCCAGAGTCTGGAGGTAATTTCACATAAGAGTTTGAGTATGCTTGCCTTTTAAATTTGACCCATCATAGAAGTCAGGTGTGCTTTGCCACTTGTGGTGTCCTTCAGAAGGTTTGGATTTTGGAGCATTTAGGATTTTAGGTGTTTGAATTAGGGAGGCACAGCCTGCCTAATCTGTATGATGGAAAACCACACAGCTCATTAAAATGATATAGTAGAGCTGGCTACAGTGCTCACATTTTTAGGTAAAAAGTATAAGTGGGAGGGTGATACAAGCCTCTTGGACATAACTGTAAGAGACTGTTTTGAAAAACAAAGAAAGCTGGGGATGTGGTTAGAGTGGTAGAGCACCTGCCTCAAATGTACAAGGCACTAAGTTCTAAACCCAGAGGCTGGTGACTGTCATCTCAATTGGGAAGGTGGAGACTGAGAAGCAGCAGTTCAAAACCAGCCAAGGCAAAAATTTAGAGGCACCAACTCATCTCAATAAATAATCTGGGTGTGGTAGTGTACTCCTGTAATACAAGGCTAGCCTGGGCCTACATGTGAGCCACTATCTGAAAAAATAACTAACAGGTTAAAATGAACAATTATTAACCAAAAATTATATATTCAGAAAATGTATCCTTTAAGAATTAAGACAAAAATCAATACATTTCCAGGACCTAGATCTGTTGCTAACAGACCTGCCCTGCAAGAAAGGATAACTGTTTACAAAAATGCAAAACACAGAACTAACAATTTTTTTATTTCAATTCTTCTTTTTTCTGATATCATATAAAAGAAAATTGCAAAAAGCAATCCGTATAAAGCTATGTAAGGAACGCATGATTTTTAAGTATCAATTTGTGTCCATAACCCCAGAGAGGCAGGCAACAGAGATATAAGTTTTTTTAATACTACTGAAGCCAACTTGGTGTTAACCAGAGTCTCATTCTTATAAATTAAAACATTAGTCATAATTACCAAGGCCATGACCACTAAGTAAATAACTCTGTGTGTGTGTAGTGTGTGTAAAACAGAAGACTCTAAGAGGATTAATAGGTCCATAGAACACATGTCTCCTTAAGACAAATGAAAGTAGTAATGGAGTAATTGAGGAAGAGGAAACACAACCTAGCAAGAGGGCAGAATTGTTTTTCTTTCTCAGCCAATGTATCAAATGCACATGTATGCTAAACTGTTTAATTAAAAGGCAGAAATGGACTAATTACCTTGGCTCATGGCCCATAATCCTAGGTACTCAAGAGGCAGAGATCTGAAAATCAAAGTTAAAAGCCAGGAAAGGCAGGAAAAGTCCCTGTGAATTTTTTGGTTGTTAGAGATACTTATCTCCATCAGAAATGGAGGTGTGGGTCAGGAACAGCAAGAAAACCATGAGTACAAGGGAAAGAGGACCGGACACATCCATCCCAGGGGACCACACAGAGGCAGGCAGGCACAGGAGAAAGATTATTACAAGGTTTATTAGAGGAGCCATATTTCCCCCAAGAGGGAGCCCATGGCCTCCGTCTCTATCCAGGTAGCAGGAGGGCCTGAGGATAGGAAGTGAGGTAGATGGGAGTTCAGGTGGGTCTGGGCGGAGAGAGGGAGGAGCCAGCTGTATGGAGGGAACTCCAGGATGGGAGGGGGGGCCCAGGTCTGGGTGGAGCTGAGGACCAAAGGTGAGCATAATACTAACAACAAGCTATAATACTGGCATCTTTGTACACGTGTGTGTGTGTGTGTGCGTGCGCGCGTGCACACACACACACACACACAAGAAATGGGCAGAAAAAAGAATACTTAATAACAGAGTAAACTATATTAACATCACATAGGACTATAAAGTAAATATAATAAAATCCAAAATATTGTTTAAAAAACAATGGCAAAAGAAAAAGTTAATGGAAAAAAGTTACATAGGTAGAAGACTAGAAGAAAGTAGTGGCTTAGGAAGAAATCCCAGGTCTAGCAAGGGTGGGGAATGAATGGCCTGTCACAAAAGGTCCCCCAAAGCACTAGGTACATGACAGGAGACACACAAATGCTTCTTGCTGCCTGCTCACAGCTGGTCTGCTTATATTGATAATTTTGTGTGACCCAAGAATGATGTTAGAAATATCCAAGTGGTCCATGACAGAAAAATGATATGAGAAAGAGCGAGTGAGAGAGAGAGAGAGAGAAAGAGAGAACTCAGAGTAGTCTACTTACCAATCAGAATGCAAGAATCTCTACATCTGAGCAAGCACTTCCCTATTATACCACAACCTACCACCAGTGCTGAACATACCCAAGACTTGTTAACTAGCAAGCCACCACTGAACAACAGCACCTGATTGATCTCTATGACCATATTTAGAACTTTCCCTAAGGAAAGCCCCCAAACCAACCCCTACATGGACCTCAGTGGTTACCTCTGTATGTGCAACCCTATAGTGACAGCCCAAGGCCAGCTCCAGTCCCCCTCCTAAAGCCACGCCTTCAATAGCTGCCACCACAGGCTTCTTATTTCTCTGTAGTTCATCTACTATACTTCCCAATCTAATGCCAGTGGACCAAGGAGCGCTGAAGCTATGGATATCAGCACCTAAAGAACAAAGATACAGGGCTGGGAAGGTGGCTCAGTGGTAGAGCACTTGCCTTGCATGCTCGAGGCCCTGGGTTCGATTCCTCAGCACCACATAAGCAAAAAGAAAAAAGCCAGAAGTGGTGCTGTGGCTCAAGTGGTAGAGCACTAGCCTTGAGCTGAAGAGCTGAGGGACAGCGGCCAGGCCCAGAGTTCAGGCCCCACGACTGGACCCAAAAAAAAAAAAAAAACCAAAGATACAAGAGGAAAGGGCTCTGATTTGAACTTTATTCGTATGAATAAAGTTCATTAATCATTTTTCTTTTATAAAAATATTTTTATTATCATACATTAGTTTACAAGGGGCAAGGGTTACTGTGGCATTTCCATATGCATACAATGTACCCCGTAAAACTGAGCCCTTCCCTCAGTCTTCATTACCTCCAACCTCCCTTCTGAAACAATTTCACCTGGTTTCATTGTTCTGTTTTCATAAATGGAAATAAAGTACTTCAGCCATATTCATCCTCATTCACCCTCTCCATTTGTTCTTCCTACCTCCGGTTAATTCCCCACTCCACCCCAGCCTGTTTTACTCATTAGACCCTTTGGCCTCAGGAGACACTTCCATCCTTAGATGGAGACACAACAGAGGAAGTGCTCTGGGAAATGTAGAATTGAATATGAGAAACCCATCAAATCTTTACCATGAATCCTATAGCCTCCTAAGATCTGTGGATTCTTAGGATAAAGAGAAACTCTAATGATAGGGAATTTAAAAGTCTAGGAAAGAGGACTTAAGGATTTAAGACCATCATTCTGAAATCAAATCAGTCTCCTCATTTTCTTGGTGACATTGTTTATCAGACCAATTCACAACGATTTCACCATGTATCTTTGTTAACAGTATAAGTAATTACAATATAAAATAGCAAGATAAAATGCCTATATATTATTTGTGAGTGATATGTTACATACCAGTCAAGATGGATAGATTGTAGATAATAGTTTGAGTATGCCTGCCTTTTAAATGTGACCCATCATAGAAGTCAGATGTGCTTTGCCACTTGTGGTGTCCTTCAGAAGGTTTGGATCTGGCGCATTTAGGACTTTAGGTGTTTGGATTAGGGATGCACAGCCTGCCTAATCTGTATGATGGAAAACCACACAGCTCATTAAAATGGTATAGTAGAGCTGGCTATAGTGGCTCACATTTTTAGGTGAAAAGTGTAAATGGGAGGGTGATCCAAGCTTCTTGGGCATAACTGTAAGATACTGTTTTGAAAAATAACAAAAACAAAGAAAGCTGGGGGTGTGGTTAAAGTGGTAGAGCACCTTCTTAGTATGTACAAGGCACTAAATTTTAAACCCAGAGCCTCATGACTATCATTTCTCATGAGTAACTGTCATCTTTTATGAATAACAAAGTTCGTAAAATGTCTTGCCTTTAGTAATTAAAAATTATAAAAATAAGCCGGGCGCTGGTGGCTCACGCCTGTAATCCTAGCTACTCAGGAGGCTGAGATCTGAGGATCGCGGTTCAAAGCCAGCCCGGGCAAGAGAGACTGTGAGACTCTTATCTCCAATAAACCACCAGAAAACCGGAAGTGGCGCTGTAGCTCAAGTGGTAGAGCGCTTGCCTTGAGCTGAAGAGCTGAGGGACAGTGCCCAGGCCCAGAGTTCAAGCCCCACGACCGACAAAAAAAAAAAAAAAATTATAAAAATAGCACAGGCAGTCTGAAAATTGTGAAAGATATACAATATTATAAAATATGATGATCATTTATGGTTTACTACACAGAGAAAATAACAGGATTTTGATGAATTTTTTGTATATATTTAATATTTTAGTGTATATGTAGTTTTATGGCCTTGAGTAAGTTATTGAACCTTTTTGTTTCAAGACATATATTAAATGATTGATGTGAGAACTAAGTAAAAGTTTAATTTATACTTAAACATTGAGAGCATATGTAAAATTTCTTATTTTCCTGTTTTCACATGACATGTACATAGTGATCATTTTCTTTTCTTTTCTTTTCTCTTCTCTTCTTTTCTTTCTTTTTTTTTTTGGTGGGGCGTGGGTCATGAGGCTTGAATTCTGAGCCTGGGCGCTGTCCCTCAGCTCCTCAGCTCAAGGTAAGAGCTCTACCACTTAAGCCACAGCACCACTTCCTGCTTTTTCTGTTTATGTAGTACTGAGGAATCGAACCTAGGGCCTCATGCATGTGAGGCAAGCATTCTACCACTGAGACACCTTCCCAGCCCATAGTGATCGTTTTCCTGGAATAAACAAACATACTTTTGCTTATTTATTTGGGCTCCGGAGTTTGAACTCAGGGCTTCAAGCTTTCTTGGCTGGCACTCTAACACATGAGCCACACACTCGGCCTAGCTTTTTGCTGGTTACTTTGGAGATGGAGTCCTGAGAACGTTTCTGCCTCAATTAGCTTTGTCATGATGTTCCAGACCTAAAGTTCCTGCTCAGCTAGGATCACAGGTGTAAGACACCAGCACCCAGCTCATTATCTATTCTTTGGTAACAATAAACTTTGTATCGTTTTAAAATTAAATATTTTATTTTTAGCTTATTTACCTACTTTCCTTTTTCTTTTCATTTCCTTTTTCTTTTCACTACGTTTCTTTTCTAGCATCAATCTAAGATTCTCTCTTTTTTTTTCTTACCAATCTACCAATTTAACTCTGTAGCCAAGGATTTGTTTTCTGCTATTTTGAGTTTTTTTTCTTTTTTACTTCCAAGGAAAATAAAATCAGCTAAAATTTAAGCTTCAGGCTTATCATTCCAGTACTTTTAGAATGAGATGGTTTTTCATGACTAACAGTAATGAACATTTGTTGGATAAGTACATCAGGCACTGGGCTAAATAGTTCCATATATTATGTCATTTATTTTGTTTAACTAGGTTAAATTCTATAACAATCTTCAGTTTACAGGTAAAGAAGGCTTTAAGATCTTAACTAGTCAGTTAAGACATATGATTAGTGACTCACAGAATAAGCATTTCAGCCAGTTTTACCACAAAGCCTAGTTTTTCTTTGTTCTTTCCTTTTTCCCTTCCCTTTCCTTTTTCTCCTTTCCTTTTCTTTCTTTCCTTTCCTTATTCTTTCTCTTTTGAGACAAGGCCTTCCTAGGTGGTCCATGCTGTTATCAAACCCATAATTTTTTTTTGGGGGGGGGGTCTGGTTGTGGGGCCTGAACTCTGGGCCTGGGAGCTGTCCCTCAGCTCTTCAGCTCAAGACTAGCGCTCTACCACTTGAGCCACAGCGCCACTTCCGGCTTTTTTCTTTTTGCTTATGTGGTGCTGAGGAATCGAACCCAGGGCCTCATGCATGCAAGGCAAGCACTCTACCACTGAGCCAACTTCCCAGCCCCAAACCCATAATTCTTTTGCTTCAGTCTTAATTGCTGAGATTATAGGCATGTACAACCATATTTGGCCCTAAATCAAAGCCTGATACTGAATGCATTGCTACATTCTTCTACTTATCATGTATAATTAAGATTATTGTCACAAACTGACAGAAACTAAGGTACAAATAAGAATACAGTGATTTCAATTTTCTTCTGTTTTTCTGAGACAATCTCAGTATAGCCTAGAGTGGCTTTGGAGCTCCAGCTTCTGTCTCCTGTGTACTGAAATCATTCCTTGTGTGACTTCAAGTTTCATGATTTCAGGACACAAAAATCCAATTATTTTGGGATTCTGATTTCATATCAACCCAAAGTGCTAGATTCTCTTAATTCTACTAAATTTCTGATAGATTTTCTTTTTCTACAAACATGTGGATAAGGAAGATTTATCTTCCTTTTCAATCCTTATATTTTAACTTCCTTTTCTATCTTGCTGGACAAGGTAAGGCCTCAAATCCAATATGAAATAGAAATTTGATGAGGGTAATCAGTCTTCTCTTCTTCCTTTCTCTTAAGGAGTGTTTTCAATTTAACACTTGTTTGACATAGGTTTTTTGGGGGGAAAAATAGGTATGGTTAGCCCAATTAGTCCTGTATCTGTTTATTAATCAATTATATATATGTATATATATATTTATTTATTTATTTATTTATTTTGGGTCCGGTCGTGGGGCCTGAACTCTGGGTCTGGGCACTGTCCCTCAGCTCTTCAGCTCAAGGCTAGCGCTCTACCACTTGAGCCACAGCGCCACTTCCAGCTTTTTTCTTTTTTCTTATGTGGTGCTGAGGAATCGAACCCAGGGCCTCAGGCATGCAAGGCAAGCGCTCTACCACTGAGCTACCTTCCCAGCCCTTAATCAATTATATTTTAAAGTCATATCAAATACTATGAAATGTATTTTCCTAAATTTATTGTAATAACCATGAAAATTTTGTTTAATCTCAATAGGATGCTGATTTAGTATTCAAACAATCAGGTATTTCTAGGAGAAAAGTAGCATGTTATGCCTTTTACATACTATTAGGTTTAGTAAAATTATGTTTATGAACCAACTTGGCCTTATCATAAAAGTGAAAAAAGGTCCTAAGAGTGGCTTAGGTATCTTGGGAGAGACCTGTCTATTCACCCACCAAGTTTCTCCTTCCTGCTCTAGTGTGCCCCATCTGTTATAATCACTAGGTTCACATCCATAGGACTAGCTCACTACTCACCAGTCTGTGCCTATATTCTAGAGACAGTGGGAGAGGGTTAGTTACCTGCAGAGAGTTTTCCACCTGATCCAGAAATTACAATGGCTTTAACTGTATGATCTAATATAGCTTTCTGTAGGCCTTCTTTTATTCCGTGGAGTACAGAAAAGCTAAAAGAAAAAAAATTATACGAAGCAAACTAGTCAAAATTAAATTTCTACCATGTCAGAGGTTTATCTTGCCTAATTCTGATCAAGTAAGCACATATACAATGGACACAACCCTAGAGATTCTTGTAATGGAGGCTTTTACTCATTTCTCAACAAATAACAGTGTCATTAATTTATAGAAGGCCCTTTTTTGGGGGGAAGGGGGAATTAGTTCTGGAGTATGAACTCAAGACCGGAGTACAATCCCAGGGCCTGGATACTATCCCTGACTTTTGTTTGTTTTTTAGCTCATAACCAGTACTCTACCACTTGAGCCACAGCTCCATTTCCAGCCTTTTGTTGGTCAACTGCAGAAAAAGTCTCATGGGCTTTCCTGCCCCAGCTGGCTTAGAACTATGATCCTCAGATCTCAGTCTTCTGACTAGCTAGGTGTACAGGCACCAAGCTAATAAGTCCACTTTTAATGCAATACTATTTTGCTCTAACTTAAAATTTGCACTAACAAATTTTAAAAATATACATCTCCTATGTGCTCAACTAGGAGTTAGCTGATAAATTTCAACAAAGTATCACATAAGTATGCATCCACTAATGTGTGCTGTAATAAAGGAACAAAAATTTTCAGGGGGGCTACATCAAGTTCAGTTTGTCCTATTGGAAAGTGGTAGACAAGTAAATGAGAGACATTAGGAGCAGCTGCTAATCACTCAAGTAAATATTCCTTCTCACATATTCCAAAGAATCAAGACATCTACCTTTTAACTACCCACTGCTCTGCAGTAAGGTCTGCCCAATGTACTAAGTAGTAATAAATGGTATATACAACTTTTAGAAAAAGTCCTTTAGAATGTCTTTACTTTCCTTGTTTTCTTTCTTATTTATTTTCTGGGAGAATAGCTAGCTAGATTAGGAGCAATCATCTTTGAGCAAGAAGTACAACCATATATTAAGGAAGATTGAGCAAAAAAGTAGATAAAAATAGAGGTCACTCATAGTAGTTTTGGAATGCCAAGACACTGCTGTGAGGTAAATTAACTTGCTCTTATTTAAATCACTATTATTGCCTGTTTTCTGATATTGCTAGTGAAATCTGACCCTAACAAATCTAAGTGTCAAAGACAAAGATAGTAAATAATCTACACACAGCAGTAGATTTTCCCCCCAAGACTTAGCATCTGAAGGAGTCTTCCCAGAAAAGTTAAGTATAACTAAGATTTGGTGAGTTTTTAAAAAGAAGAGCAATGTGAGATGACAGCAGATTTTCTGGACATTTCTGCATAAAAGAACTAGCAGAGGCTCAGTAAAGAGATCCAGGAAAAAGGGAGCCCAAGTCACAAAGACCAAGACAGGAGGATTTGCAAAAAAAAAGACATTATTAGATGCAAGTGTTGCTTTAAAAAAGGGAGACTCAAAAATTGGTAAGAATGCATATAGGAAAAATGATAGAAAACTATTATTACAGAACAAACAACAACTAAGGTACATAAAGGCCATAATTTTAAGCCTAGCCAATGATAAGTCAAAACTTTGTAAAAATAAAGGAAATAAAGTAGATAGCCTTGTGTACAATAATTACCTTTTCCCTAGTTACCTTTTCCCTGGTCACTTACAGGAATAAACAAGCCCTCTAGCCTTCAATTGGTTAATTAGAAACCAAATCTGATCATGAGAACACTCTGAACCATTACACCACAGTGAGAAGCCCAAAAGGCATACACAGTGGTCCCTCGGTGTCTAGGAGGAATTGGTTCAGACAAGTCCCCATCCCTTCAGGATACCAAAGTCCTCATACGTTCCAATCTGCTAGACAAAATTATATACTATTTGCATAACCTAGTCACATCAGTATTTCTCAACTCCTTCTAATATCCCATGAAACAGAGATACTATGTGAACAGCTGTCACATTGTATTGTTTAGGGAATTATAAAACAACAAAAGACTATAAAGGTCCAAGTAACCCGGTATAACTACATTTTCTATCTGTTGGGGACCAATGGATGTGCAGGACTGACTGAATTTCTTCTGGGTAAAGGATGGCTTCAAAATGAGCCAAAATTAGTTCCATCAGTGCAACTAAGATTCTGGCTTTGCCCATTCCAACAAACCTGTTTTACCTATGGATAAGTTTGGAACACTCATCAGTAGGAAAAACAGGAAAGGATAATGGCTATAACCAATAGAGCTTTCTTTTCCAGAGCTGCCTTAGAGAAACTATAGCCACGAAGCAAGTAAAGCCAGAGACCAAGAATATTTTTTTCTCCCCTTCATGCTACCAGGTGTGGAGAGTGGTCTGAAAAGATCACTCAAGAATTTCTTGAGTGCCTATTTGTGGGGAAGTCTTGCCACTTCCAGGGGTGGGGAATGTCTGGCACATGGGCTGTATAAAGCCTGAGAAATCATTTGGTCTAGCCAACCTAGAGAATCTTAGGTGGGACTCAAAATGTAAAAATCTAGGAGTTTTTTCAAAGTGAAAATTCAATAAATCTAGGCCAGTGAATGTTGTTATAATGTCCAAATGGTCTTGGGCAGAAAAAAGTTCCTAGGTTCATGTAGACTCTGTGTGTGTGTGTGTGTGTGTGTGTGTGTGCCCGCGTGCACACATGAGCCCAAGTCGAGGGCTTGAACTCAGGGCCTCATGCTTTCTCAGTTTGAATACTGAGAGAGTACTCTAATAATTCAGCCACAATGCCAGCTGACTTTCTGCTGGTTAATTGGCAATAAAATCTAAAGGGCTTATCTGCCTGGGCTGGCTTTGAGCCACTATACCCTAGATTTCAGCTTCCGGAGTACCTAAGATTAGTGACCTATTCCTGGCAAAAAAAAAAAAAAGGGCAAAGAAACAAAAGTTCATGAATTTGTGACTTGTGATAATTTTTGTTTGAAAATAGGAAGAAAAAATAAAATATGCCAGGCTTGTAAGGACAGGCTTTGTTTCAGCAAGCCAATTGACTTACCTGTGCATTTGTACGCATGTTTTCAGTTAATATGTAAAACATGAAGATTCTTACTATGTGGATCACAGGTGTGTGTGTGTGTGTGTGTGTGTGTGTGTGTGTGTGTGTGTATGTGTGTGTGTGTGTGTGTGTGTGTGTGTGTGTTTTAAACAGCATTGTCAGGCATAGTGGCTCATCCCTATAATTCTAGCTTATTTCAGAGGCTGAAGATCTGAGGCCTGAATTTTGCCAGCCCATGCAGGAAAGTTCATGAGACTCTTATCTCCAAAAAGCTAGATGTGGTGATGCAGTTCAGGTGGTAGAATACTAGCCTTGAGCACAAAAGCTCAGGGGCATCACCCAGGCCCTGAGTTCAAGTCCAAGGAAAGATTCCCCCCCACTCCAAAACACACTTATAAAACCCAAAGATTGGAGCAATAGAAAAGTTGGCTAGAGAATTAAAATGGGCAATGATAGAAGAAGGGACATCTGGGCTTGTGGTATGGGATGTGAAAAAGCTGAGGAAGAGGGCAAAGCTCTTAGTTCAGGCCCCAGTATAGGCACACACACACAAATGTGGACACCTTTGTTCTGATACATAGGACTAGTAATCTGTGCTACACTTTAAAAGACTCTAACCTGGTGCTGGTAGCTCATGTCTGTAATCCTAGCTACTCAGGAGGCTGAGATTTGAAGGTTCTAGTCTGAAGTCAGCCCAGGCAGGAAAGGCGTGGGACTCTTAACTTCAAAAAATTACTCAGAAAAAGCTGGAAGTGATGCTGTGGCTCAAGTGGTAGAGCACTAGCTAGCCTTGAGCAAAGAGGCTCAGGGATAATGCCCAGGTCCTGAGTTCAAGCTCCAGAATCAGCAAAAATAAAATAAAAGACTTTAGATTGATTGGAATCTGACTAAATGCTGACTAAAGTAGCAATGAAGGATCACAGCAGTATCTTTGAGGAAAAAGAATTGTTCAAGTAAGAATCTCTCAGTAATAGGGAGCAATAATTTCCCACATAAAACCAGAAACAGGAAGAAGTAAGTTAGGATGTACTAAATATCTATTCCTTAGTGTAATAACATAAAACATAAATAAGAGTCATATTGTCAAGACTGTCAAATATTTGTTTAACTTCAGGGAATAAAGTAGCCACTTGCCTTTATGAATGATAATTACCTTTCCCTTACTAACTTCTCACCCATTAACTTAGAGAAAATCAAACAAAACTTTGTGCTTTTGAGTAGTTCAGAAACCAAACCAACTCTGGACCATTACATAATGTCCAGACTCTAAAAGGCATATGAAGTCAAGCCTCAGTATCTGTGGGGATTTGTCCAAATCTTCATATGTTCAAGTCTTTTATATAAAATAGCATTATCTGTGCATATAATCTATATATGCCATACCACACTGCAAAATGAAAAAGCTATGTTCCCCTCCTCTTTTATTTCTGTTGCTGGAAAATTTAAACACCTCCTAAGCAAGGCAAACAGGAAATGGATAGTTGCTGTAACTGACATAAGTTTTCCAGATTTAGCTAACAGAAAGAGAGCACAGGCTCCCAAGCAAAGGGCACAGGGGCCAAGGAAGTATTTTCTCTTCTTCACACTGCCGGGTGTACAGAATGGGGTCTTAGACAGAGCATAAAATTCATCCATTCAAGCTTGGGACTTAATGATTATATATATATCAGGGTGTGTGTGTGTTAGTCGTGGGGCTTGAACTCAGGGCTAGTCCTGTACCACTTTGAGCTCTACTTCTGGTAGGCTTCGAACCTGATCTTCAGATCTCAGCCTCATGACTAGTAAGGATTACAGGCTATTACTTTCTCAAAGAGAAGATGATTAAATAAAATATGCCAAACTAACCTCTAAGAATAGGTTTGATTTCACAAGTTAGTTTCCAGTTATATATGTGTGCATATATATATATATATATATATGTATATATATATATATATATATGTAGTTAGCTGTAATGTAACTAACTATAGGTTTCTTATATATGGATTACCATTAAAGTGTGGAAGTCTTCGTTTTAGGAGGCAGGCCTAGAAATCAGCCATGTCCTACACTTATAAGGAAGGCTATCATTCATCTGAATGGGAGGAAATGTAGTTGACTAAACTAGCAATGAATATTTAAAACCATTTTTTGGGAAAACCCCACAAATAGCAATCTCTCAATGATGGGAGATGAGGTGATTTTCTAAATGAAATTTAAAATAGGGAGGGGAAAAGGAAGAAGGAATGAAAAGTACAACTCCCCCCTCCCCAAAAAAGAATGATGATAATAGAAGCTGTTATACTTGATAAATGAGATGGGATGTATTATAATATAGAGTCTTTCATGTATAGGGTAAAAAAAAACTTAAACAACAGCACATTTATTTTTATTTTATTTTATTTTGTTGGTCGTGGGGCCTGAACTCTGGGCCTGGGCGCTGTCCCTCAGCTCTTCATCTCAAGGCTACACTCTACCACTTGAGCCACAGCGCTACTTTTTTTTTTTTTTTTTAAATTTTATTTGTGAACATACTGTACAGAGGGGTTACAATTACATGGGCAGGATAATGCATACATTTCTTACCAAGCATTGCAGCCTCGTTTGTTTACCCTTCACCTCCCTTCCCAGCCTCCCCCCCCAATCCTTCCTCCCCTACCCCCCCACATTGTAAAGCTCGTTTTTGACATGACAATTTGTACTTCTCATTGTTGCAACAGGTCCACCTGAATCCTTAAACGACTTGTTTTTCCCCATCTCCTCCACAAGTTATACTGACATCAAATATATTGAAAGCGGGGGTTATACTATGGGGGAGGGACATACAAAGCAACAAAGAAATAATCTTATAAATGCGTTAGAAACACATGCATGAAAGAAAAAAAACATTAAAATACCTATCTAAGGGTTCATTTTCCTAACATCACATTATCTGACTTTTTCCGCTTGACTCATACATATACTAGATATTGCAAATAAGGGAAACCATGGGACCTGTGTTTTTTTGTGCCTGGCTTACTTCACTTAATATAATTTTTTCCAAGTTTTTCATTTCCTAACAAATGGGGCAATGTCATTCTTTCTGATGGAGGCACAGAATTCCATTGTGCATATATACCACATTTTCTTGATCCATTCATCTACTGAAGGGCATCTGGGTTGGTTCCATATCTTAGCTATGGTAAATAATCCACAGCGCTACTTCTTGCTTTTTTCTGCTTATATGGTGCTGAGGAATCGAACCCAGGACCTCATGCATGCAAGGCAAGCACTCTACCACTAAGCCACCTTCCCAATCCCACAACAGCAAATTTTTATAAAAGACATATTGTTCAGACCTGTCAATGAGGAACCAAACCCTATGGAATGAAGAAAATTCTTGTCCCCAGATGCTTTTCATTCATTAACCTAGAGGAAATCAAGCAGAACTTCTGTCTTTCAACCTGTTAATTAGAAACCAAATCTGTTCATGAAATCATATTCTAATCTAGACCATTACATAATATTGAGAAACCCAAGGCATATGTAGTCATCCATTAGAAACTGAGTCAAAGAATCTTCACACTTCAGGATACCAAATCTCTGGATGCTTAAGCATGAAACACAGGGGCTGGGAAGGTGGCTCAGTGGTAGAATGCTTGCCTCAATGCATGAAGCTCTGGGTTCGTTCGATTCCTCAGTACCACATAAGCAGAAAAAAGCAGAAGTGGTGCTGTGGCTCAAGTGGTAGAGCACTTGCTCAAGTGGGACAGCACTCAGGCCCAGAGTTCAAGCCCCATGACCAACAACAAAAAAGAATGAAGCACAGCATGCTATTTGCAAAGAACCTAGCCACACCATCATCTCTATAGTACTTATACTGCTTTCTAAACAGTTAGAGTACTACAGTATTTAGGGAATAGTAACAAGAAGATAAGAGAATAATAATCAAGGGGCTGGGAAGGTGGCTCAGTTGTAGAGCACTTGCCTTGCATGCATGAGGCCCTGGGTTCGATTCCCCAGTACCACATATGCAAAAAGAAAAAAAAAAGCCAGAAGTGGCGCTATGGCTCAAGTGGTAGAGCGCTAGCCTTGAGCTGAAGAGCTGAGGGACAGTGCCCAGGCCCAGAGTTCAGGCCCCACAACCAGACCCACCCCCCCCAAAAAAGAGAATAATAATCAAATGCTTATTAGAAACCCAGGCATCCTAGACAAAATTACATTTTGGCTGAAAGGGAGATATAAAACATATATCCTATAAGGATTTAGGACCAACTATATTTTCTTCTGTGTAAAGGACATTACAAAGGATTGGCTGCAAAATTTGCTCAATCATCCCCCAAAACAAACCCCCAAAGAAACGACCACCCCCATTCAAAAGTGGACTAAAGATCTTAAGAGAGACCTTGCTGAAGATGAAATACAAATGGCCAAGAGACGCATGAAGAATTGCTCAACATCTCTGGCTATATCAAAACAACATTGAGATTCCACCTTACACCAATAAGAATGCCCATAATCAAGAAATCTGACAACAACAGATGCTGGTAGGGATGTGGTACATATACACAATGGAATTCTATGCTTCCATAAGAAAGAATAGCATTGTTCCATTCATAAGGAAATGGAAAGATTTAGAAAAAAATTATATTAAGTGAAGTAATTCAGATCCAAAGAAAAGCAGGTCATATTATCTCCCTCATCTGGAAGAACTAGAATATGTAGATACTCTAAGGGGATCTCAAGATCCCAAAGAATGCAAAGGACTCTATATAATGAAGCATATTAATACGAACTCCAACTTATGGAAAAAAGAGGCTCTCATTAGACCCTCTATACAGTTCGTTCTTTTTCTTTATTGTTGCTTTTTCCCATGGTTTCCCTCATTTGCAATAATTAGTATATGTCTAGAATAATTTTACCAGATGAGCAGAAAAGCTCAAAAGCTATGTACATATGACCATATAAGATGATGCTAAGTGAAACAAACCCCAAGATATGGGTACAAGTGGTTCTTCTTTATTGTTTTTAATGTACTACAAGATTGTTTTGTTTCCTTTGTATGTTCTTCCCCCTATGGTATATCTCATGTTGTTGCTGTACTGATATTGGTACCCTGCATCTTGTATATACATTTGTCCAGTTTGGGGAGGGGAAGGGGAATAACAAAATGCTGAAACAAGGACATAGGATGACCCATTGCAACAATGATACCCACTAGACAGTATATTGGAATTGAACTTTACAACTTCGGAGGGGAGGGGGGAAGAGTGAGGAAGGTTGGGGGAGGGATAGTGGAAGAACAACAAAGGAAGGAGTAACAATTCTTGACAAGAAATGTACTCATTATCTTACTCATGTAACTGTAACCCCTCTGCACAGCATCTTCACAATAAAATTAAATTTAAAAATTGCTCAATCAGCACCACTGAGGACAAGAGATTGGCTTTGCTTAGTCCAACCAACCCTATTTCATTTGTGATCATTTTAATTTTGAAAAACTCAAATAGGATAACAAGAAAGGGGCAATGGCTGTAGCCTCTGCATCTTTGCTTGATTCAGCCAACAGAGGAAGCCCACAGGTAGGTAAAGAACACAGGGGCCAAGTGAGTATTTTCTTCCCTTAACACTGTCAGGTGTAGAGAATGGAGTCTAGGGAGAAGAAAAATGTTTCATAAGGGCTGACAACTTTTCAGCTTTTGTGACCATGGTAGGCCTTTTCTTTGGACAATTTTGTTGATAGTGGTGATAAACCAACAGCTATCAAAATAATTCTGTAGGGGCTGGATGTAGCTCAGTGGCAAAGCACTTATCTAGCAAGTACAACACCCTGGGTTCAATCCCGAATGCCCCCCCCCCCAAAAAGAAAACCCACAACACCAAAAAAACAAAATAAGACTGTGGCTTGTGACCAGCACTTTTTCAAACAAAGAAATAGAAAATAGATTATGCACTATACCTAAGCATAGGTTAAGTCTAGGGAAATTTTCTCTTTAGCTGATATGCAATTTTGAATTGTTAGGCAAAACAGGAAATTTCTTACTAGGATTAGTTTAAAACAAACATGCCATTGTTCTGGAGATAGCCACGTTTTATAGTTGCATTCAGGGTTTGCTCCCATCTGAATGAAATAAAATGTGGCTGGCTATTCTAGCACTGAAGGATTTAAACTAATTAGATAAAAATAATTTATTCAGATAGAATCTCTCGGGGAGCTAGCTGGAAAGAGATGGTTTCCCACACAAAATGAGAAACAGGAAGGGGAAAAGAAAGGAAGGATGGAAAGAAAAGCATGAAGCAGAAAAAATAAATCAGGAACATGTTAAATTTGGTGAAGGCAAAGATAGACATCCTATATAAAATAATGTCTAACAGACTGATGGAAAAAAAAAAAACAAGGGTGGATTTGAGGCCAATTGGAGAGTCTTCTAGATGAAGCTGAATTGCATGTGAGCATTTGACCTGCAGGTAGCATCTGTGACAGGCCTCTGAAGAATGGAATTAGGACAGCTAACATGTGTTAAATACAGTTTGTAATCTCTGCTTCCTTTTATCCTCACAGTTTTATGAGATACAGGACATTCCTTAAAGGGGTGAGCAGATTAAATGCTAGAAACATTCAAAATATCAGAAAATGTTTCCAGGTAGGGTTTAGATTATGGAATCTTTTTTTTCTAAGAGCCCGATGGACACATCTTGAAAAGAAGCTGCTGCAGAATCCTATAATGTAATCAGTATATAGGCAGTCCAATATGATATAGAATCATATTATTTATGATTTCTTTTCAAAACCAATATAGCAAATTGATTCACTTTTTCCTGGAATGCAAGTGAATATATCATCCTCCCATTGTTATATAATAGTAAATGATGTCATTCATATTAAAATAAGTTTGGGGGGCTGGGAAGTTGGCTCAGTGGTAGAGCGCTTGCCTTGCATGCCTGAGGCCCTGGGTTCAATTCCTCAGCACCACATAAGCAAAAAGAAAAAAGCCGGAAGTGGTGCTGTGGCTCAAGTGGTAGAGTGCTAGCCTTGAGCTGAAGAGCTGAGGGACAGCGCCCAGGCCCAGAGTTCAGGCCCCACGACCGGACCCAAAAAAAAAAAAAAAAAAAAAAAAAAAAAAAAAAAAAAAATAAGTTTGGTATTAAGACTAAGGATAAAGCTGGGCCCTGGTGGCTCATGCCTATAACCCTGGCTACTCAGGAGGCTGAGATCTGAGAATCACAGTTCAAAGCCAGCCCAGGCAGAAAAGCCTGTGAGACTCTTATCTCCAATAAACCACCAGAAAACTGGAAGTGGTGCTATGGCTCAAGTGGTAGAGCGCTAGCCTTGAGCTGAAGAGCTGAGGGATAGAGCCCAGGCCCAGAGTTCAAGCCCCACGACCACCACTACCAACAACAAAAAAGACTAAGGATAAAATCAAGCCTGTTAATATAGTACTACAGGTCAGTTAAAATTGCCTCGTCTCCTTTCACTCTGTTACTGCTTCAACTGCATGTGTTGAAAATTATGATCAAATACCTTCCATATATTGCAGTGCTGGGGATGGACCCAGGGCCTCACTAAGTCTAGGCAAGTGCGCTACCCCCAAATATGAATTCTTTTAGTTTTGAAACCAGTTACATAGTGTAATGGCAGCCTGTATCCAGTAGGGGAATGAAGCTGGATCAAGGTCCAAACTTGGAATTAAGTCAAGACCTTTGGAATTGAAAGGTCATATAAGCAAAGGAAGATGCAAGCTAGCAAAGCGTTCAGCACCAAGTTGGCACTTGGTGAAATTAAGCCTGGCTCACCATCAGTCTGCCAGGTCTCAGACTGACAGAGATGACCCAGGCTAGTGCAAACCAGTTGCTTTATCTGTAAATGTTAATTTCAGCTTGCAGGGAAGGTGAAAGCCTCCAAAGCCAGACACAGATCAGTTGGGCCCTTTGTCCCTGCTGCAGAGCCCATTACCTGAGCGCATTAACAGGGGGATTTCGCAGGCGGATGAGCACCAGGGAGTGAGGCAGCCTCAAGTACTCAGCCATTTTCCTCTGTCACTGAAATTTTGTCCGTTGCTGTGGTTGCTGCTATCTTTTGCAATCAGGTAGTCAGTTTTCTCGGAGCCCTGGGCCAGCTCCCAAGAGGGATGATCTTGTTTGGTCAAAGAGGGCCAGGCACTGCCTCCCACCTGCTGCCCTTCCTGCCCCATTCCACGAACTACCAGGAAGCTGTACAGATCTTTGCCAGCACTCCAATGCCCTAAGGCATTGTTGGATTGCATGAATAGGGTTAGATTCATTTACATGAAGTGACCACTAAAAGACTTTGAAATACACCTACACCCTCAGCTATTTCTTGAACAATCTGAGGGCTTCCGAGAACAAGTTCTGGGTTCATTGTGAGACCAGCTGAACTCATCTCAGTATTCATCAAGATCCCAATTGTGAGAAAAGTGGGCTTCTCTGTCAAAATGGGTATAGGAATCCTTCACGACTATCCCAGAGGCAGGCAGCACAGGAGAAAGATTATAAGGTTTATTAGAGGGGCTATATCTCCCCAAGAGAGGGAGCACATGGCATCCGCCCCCATCCCAGTCTCAAGTTGGTGGTGGTGGGGGTAGTGAGGGTGGAAGTGAGATAAATGTGTGTGCAGGTGGGTCTGGGGTCTGGCCAGCTGTATGGTGGGCACTCTAGAACAGGGAGGAGCCCAGGTCTGGGTGGAGCTGAGGACCCAAGTGGGGATAATACTAACAGTGGGTTGCTTAAAAGTTCTTGCTTGGCCAGATGGCTTGGTTCTTGTTGATTATTTCTCAAGACAATGTCACCAAGTAATGGAAGGAAAAGAGGAAATGATTTGGAATAAGGAACATTTTTTTTTAATGTAAGGTTTGGTCTTGAAATACCTAGCCTAGCCCTGACCCCAGTTGTACAGCAAAGGGCCATGCAATTTCATGAGAAAGGAAAATCTGGAGTTAAGGAGTAAATACACCCCTGGAGCAAATAGTTAAACGGTGATGTCCTGTTTTACAATTTACCTAGGTCCTGAACCCCTCCCAGTCACTTTTGTTTAAGAGACAAGTACTGCCATCTCTTATGAGTCCAAGTTGTCAGTACTTAATTTCGCTGGTACTAACTAAGCATATGTCAAGTTTGCAGTTTCTGCCTTTAAAAATCCCCTCTTAACTTCCCCTGGGGCCCAAGAGATCTTTGGCAATACCATTCTCCACTGCTGGCTTCAATAATGGACCATCAAATTTCTCAGCGTGTGGCACTCTTCTGTTTCAGCTTGCTGGAGTCTAACAATCAGAACTGGTTGTTCAAGACAGAAATAGGGGCTGAGAAGTTGGCTCAGTGGAAGAGTGCCTCACATGCATGAGGCCCTGGGTTTGATTCCTCAGCACCACATAAGCAGAAATAAAGCTGGAAGTGGCGCTGTGGCTCAAGTGGTAGGGTGCTAGCCTTGAGCTGAAGAGCTGAGGGACAGCGCCTAGGCCCAGAGTTCAGCCCTGACAACTGACAAAAAAAAAAAAAAAAGAAATAGGACATACCTCTGTAGAAATACCTCAGATAGTTCAAGAAACAGCAGAGGCTGTATGTTTTGAGATCACCTGCTATTTGTTCATCTTATTTCAGTCTTTTAATGGTAACATTATGTAAATACATCTCTCTCACACTGTGCAGACTAATCAATCTGAGCAGAGGGGCAGAGCTTGCTGCGTTTGGGATAAATAGGAAGCCGTCTGCCAGCTGTGTGGTGGCTGGCAAGATTTTTGGCTGGTGACACATCCTTCTGCATAAGTAAATTTTGCCTTTTCAAGTCAAGCATTGTGACTCTGGTGGTTCTCAGACAGTACATTTATAACACCATGAACAGGGACAGTTACCTGGGGCCCTGACAACTATATGTGCCCTGAGGCCTATCTAGAACTCATGAACCACACACATCATTCATTTCACTCAAATGCTGGTACTTAGGCTATTTACAAAAGCCATCACCCAATGCTTACACAACACTACCACCTAGTGAACCCTTATTTGCCCAATCCTTTTTTTCTCCCTGCCTTTCCTAAGAAATGGGGATTACTAATACTTCATCTATTTGCCTATGAGCTAAGTAAGCATCTATTGATTATGTACTTGACCTGGCTGGAGACTAAAGACAATACCAAGCTCCTCCTCCCAAAAGTTCACTCTAAATGTTCTGGGCTTCTAATGGTCCCTACAGTTCATCCAGTGGTCAGAAGGCAATCTAGAAGACTGACAGGGTAGTACATGCTCGTAATCCCAGCACTCTGACTGAGGCAGGACCAAGAGTTCAAAGCTATCCTGGGTTATACAGGCAAAGGATAACCAGAAAGAAACAATGAGAACCAGTTTCAAAAGAAAAAAAGTAAAAAATTTCTTAACTGACGTTCATAAATTTGATCAGTCATTAAGAATTTTTATTTATGTCAGTCATGGGTCTTGAACTCTAGGCCTAGGTGCTGTCCTTCAGCTCTTCAACTCAAGGCAAACACTCTACCACTTGAGCCACAGCACCACTTCCAGTTTTCTGGTGGTTAATTGGAGATAAGAGTCTCATGGACTTTCCTGCCTGGGCTGGTTCAACTGTGATCCTCAGATCTCAGCCTCCTTGGTAGCTAGGATTACAGATGTGAGCCACCAGCACCTGGCATTAAGAAATTTGTATGCATATTTTCTTGTCTCTTGGGATTAGTTAAAAAAATAATAAATTCTCATGATAGCACTACACAGACAGAACCAATTCAAGACAGCATGGAGAAATGACTCAATGATCAAAGCCATGGTGTCAAGGTCAACCCATCAGCAATATCTCAGTACCAACAACTTACACCACCTTAAGGGATCATCAGCTACTTTCTATTTATGTCTTCTGAAAACTGCTAATCTGTGAAGTGAACCTTGACTCAAAAGTCTGCAAGATCAAGTCTGTTTTGTTTGCACAGGCTCTGCATAGCCAGTCTAGCCTCACTTCCAATAGGAAGCAGTAACTTTAACATTCTCTCTCTTCAGATAGAAGTCTGTAAGTGAAACACCTCTGACTAGCTGTCCTAGAGCTTGAACACTGCTATTATAAAGTAGGCAAGTATCAACAAACAGCTCTGAGAGTCTTACTGGAGTAGAGGGGGAGATCAGCACAGTTTTGTGTCTTCTTACTGCATTTTCTTATAGGAGTCTATTATAAGCCATTTCTTAACCTAGGTCCCTATTTTCAGTTGAACACAGAACTTTCTGCCTTCACTACCTGTGTTTAACATGGCACTTCAACAGAGCAGGGACTAAGGGCAAGCAAGTGAAACGCTTAGGGGACACCATTTAAGGGAGCATTCATTCTCAACAGTACTCAATGCTGGCCCTTTACCTTTTTTTGTCAGTTGTGTGGCTTAAACTGAGAGAGCCTGGGTGCTGTCTCTGAGCTAGTCTCTTTTTGCTTACGTGGTGCTGAGGAATTAAACCCGGGGCCTCATGCATGCAAGGCAAGCGCTCTACCATTGAGCCACCTTCCCAGCCCTCTGAGCTAGTCTCAAGGCTAGTGCTCTACCATTTTGAGCCACAGTGCCGTGTCTAGTTTTCTGATGGTTAACTGGAGATGAGTCTTATAGCCTTTCCTGCCCAGGTTAGCTTCAAATCATGATTCTCAGATCTCAGCCTCATGAGTAGCTAGGATTATACACGTGAGCCACTGGCTCACATTCTGTCATCATTATATCTCTTAGTCCCTCTGTTAACTATCATGCCATGTGACTAGTAATACAGGGAGTTGATAATATGTTTTTAAGCTGTGTAAATAATAAACTACCTACATTTGTGTGGGTTTCTTAATTGCTGAGTCTATGAAAGTATGAAAAGCTAATTTTTCAGGTGTAACCTAGCTGCTGTTTATAGACTGCTTGACCATTTAACAGTCATTAGTACAAACTGTTTCATTCATACTTTTTTTAATTTTTCTGAGTGATAGTTCTACGGCTTAAACACAGGGCCTGGGTGATGTCCCTGAGATAATTTTGTTCTAGGATAGCACTCTATCACTTAAGCCAAAGCTCTGCTTCCAGCTGTGTGTGTGGTTACAGATAAAGAGTCCCATGAATTCTCCTACCTTGGGTTGGCTTCGAATAGTGATCCTCAGATCTCAGCTTCCTGAGTAGATAGAATTAAAGGCTTGAGTCAGCAGTACCCAATGATTTTTCTTTCTTCTTTCTTTCTTTCTGTTCTTTCTTTTTTTCCTTCCTTCTTGCTTTCTTTTTTCTTTTTGTCAGCTGTGGGGCTTGAACTCAAGGCCTGGGCACTGTCTCTGAGCCTCTTACCGCTCAAGCCTCACACTCCACCACTTAAGTCACAGCACCACTTTGTTTTTTGGTTTTTGTTTTGTTTTAGACAGTCACAGGAGCTGTCCCTGAGCTCTTCAGTTCAAGGTGAGCACTCTTATCACTTGAGCCACAGCCCCACTTCTGGCTTTTTCTGTTTATGTGGTGCTGGGGAATTGAACCTAGGGCTTCATCATGCTAGGCAAGCAATCTGACAATAAGCCACATGCCAACACCACTTTCAGTTTTTGAGTGGCTAATTGCAGATAAGAGTCTCACAGGGACTTTTCTGCCTGGGCTGTCTTTGAACTGTGTTCATCAGATCTCAGCCTCCTTAGTAAATAGGATTACAGGCCTGAACCATCAGCATCTGACACCTGATGATGTTTTTAGTTTATAAAAATATTTTTTTAATCTAGTGTATATAGGTTAAAAGTTCAAATATTGAATTCCAATATATTCATGGACTTACTCTTTGGTTTTAGGTATTTCTTATGATGGAAATTTACTAAAAATTCAAGATTTCTCAATAAGTCTATTTTGGTTTGAAAGGGAGTGGGTCGTGCTCTGTTGCTGAGTTGGCTAAGAATTCCTAGAATCAGGTTAACCTGCTCTTTTATCCTCCCAAATAGCTTCAATTAAAGGCACCCCCACTATACCAGCCTCTACTAGGACTTTTGACCACTTTCTTTGGATTTATAGGTGAAAATATTATGAAAAGTTTATTTCCAAGAAAATGAAA